TAGGCTGGACACATTGCAAAATCTGGCGTAACTGATCGCCGACTTGGTTGAATTGGCTATCAACCTTCTCGCTCAGGCTCTCATGTCGCTGCTCAAGCCGCCCAACTTGTTCTTCAAGTCGATCAATGCGTTCATGGTGAATCTCCTTAGAAACAGCACCGCGAGAGGGTGGTTCTTTGGCAGGTGCTTGACCGCCTTTGGATGACTTGCCTTTGCCCTTACCTTTGGTAGAGATCTTGTAGGAAACTGGTGTCAGCAAAATTTCAAAGGTCTTGTCATTCACTCGGACAGAGAACTTCGTGACCGATGGGGCTTTCTCAAAGGAAAGCGTCCAAGCGCACACTCCTGCTCTTCGAAAGGATCTGGTCGGAATGCAAGGCACCTTAGCTGTTTGATGTACTGCAGCAACAATGTCCTTAGCAAGGATTTCAGCAGGCCAACCAAGGCTGTCCATGTTCACCTTGGGGATCATAGCCTTGTTGATGGAACAGATTCTATCATCCTGCGGTAGAAGCAAATCTCTTGCAGTAGCCAGAGCATCCGTTGCAAACCGAGGTGCCAATCCTCTTTTGGTGACTGCAATGCCTCTGTACCCTGTGATGGATGATGCTGCCTTGATGAGATCGGCCTTGTTGGCCCGATCAATAGGCCAAAACCGTGGAATGATGGACAGGTCATCGACTTGCTCACCTTTGGGGATAAAGTCCCTCACAACCAAGTCCCCTGTACCACTCGCAGCCAGCAAAGGAGTGCGATGCTTCTGCTGAACTTTGAGAAGACATTGGTGAACCACATCACGCTTGTCCTTGGCATGCTCCTGGATGACATGATATCCATAGATGGCTGCATGATTCCAGATAGGATCAGAGCAAACTTCCTTGAGGAGGGTCTTGAACTTGCCAAGAGGATTGTCATAGAAAGACTGGAAGACGTCCTTCGTCGTGAGTCTGGCGTCACATTCCAGGACAATTTCACACACCGCTGCTAAAGTAAGTGTGATTGAGGGGGTTGGCAGCGAAAACTGAACCTCCGGAGTAACCACCACAAGGTGCACTTGACGTTTGTATTCTTGATTCAATGCCGGATCAAAGACGATCACCTCATAGGGGCCTGTCAGATTTGGCATCTTGGCGAGAGGATCTGTTGGATCAACAATTGGTAAGAGCAGTGCACAAGGCTCCTTCGGAACAATCTCCGTGGCTTGCTTCAGATTGCCTTTGGAAACGAAGGCAATTCCTCCCCGATTTGTGGACAGCTGTTGTTTCTGCACAAATGGCAGTGCAAAGGGATGGTCAGTCTGAAGCTGGAGGTCCTCCCATTTGCTTCATCAAACTGCCAGGGGTCAGCTGCTTGCATCGGAGTGTCAAGAGAAGCAGTCCCCTCCATACCACCCAGAGAAACTGCAGAACATGGTTGAAGAACTTGACATCCACCAACAAGGAGAAACGTCCGGCGAACATTGGCAGCGAAAGTGCGCAGCATGGGCGGCGCCCCTGCAGCTCGCCAAGCATGCTCAGACTCTTCAAGGATCATGTCAACAATATGGCGCTTCTGCTGAGGAATATGAAAGTCCGTTGGAGGCGACAAATCTGAGACCACCCATCGGTGGAGCAGCTCCCAACCGCACATACCTGGTCGAGTGCGAGTGGTATCAACGATGATGATCGGCCTGAAGCCAATAGGCACAACATATTCTGCAGCAAAGTTTGTCCAGAATTGCTGATCCCGGACTGGAGCTTGCAGGAAGACCACACGACAAGTATGTTCAACCACGTTGCAAATGACTTCAATACCGACCCAATGGCCCTCTCGGAGGGCAACGAAGCGTTGAACCTGATCGCTTCTCGGCATGACACTTGCAGCAATGATGGATAAGTCATGATGAAGTACCGGAGGGCAAAATGACTCCGGCAAGAAAAAGGTCAACAGAAACTCCATCTCATCACTTGTAGCCCAACCAGGATGTGTACGGTATATATTGGCTCTCATATCCAGCCATTCATCAGCCACAAAGAAGATCTCATTGATGTTGTAAGTCTGAGGAGGCCTTCCAGTGGATCGAAGGACCAGATCTTCAGCTCGACTTGGTGATTCCATGATGGCCACCATAAATGCATTGCGACTAGCACGAGCGAATTGCAGCATCCTGTCATCAGTCTGAGTGTCCCTCCATACAAAATCAGCCTGGTCAAGGATTTGCATGACGTGGTCAGTATATTGAGCCCTCTGCAAACGCTGGGTCGTGCGATGAGAGGCAGGAAGCAAAGGCGCTCCTGCGCGTGCATAGAAGGTACGAAGAGTAACTTGAAGAGTATGCCATGCAGCCAGCTCTGAATCTTCAGCGGTTCGAATCCATCTGAAAGCGTTAGGCTGAACCGGAATACGCATGTTATTGATGAGTTCCAAAACAGCAGTGCGCTGTCGCAAAGTCAACTGCTCTGGTGCGTGGTAAAGCACCCTCCACAACCCTTCGAAGAATCGAACCTCGACAAAGATCCAATCAAAGACAACCAGGATCGGCACCACAAAGTGCTGAAAGCAGCGCTGCAAATCAGCTGGCTCAACTGGAAAGCGAAATTGTGATTCGCTACTGACCCACATAGCAGGGCGCACCAGCAAATCGAAGGCATCAGAAGTTGCAGCACATCAAAATGAAAGACCATCTCGTCCATGGCCAGTGATCCAGGTTCAAGGTTGAACTGCAAAAGCCCGGCAACAACAGAGTCATTCTGCACATTGCAACTTGGATGTTCCGTGAGAAAATCCATACCACCCAACACAATTGGCACAGCCTGTCGAGGCTTGGAGTCACACCACAAAATGTCACCGTTGATGAGCATCAGAGGCTGAGCCGTCCCAGAGAAGGGTGAGAAGTCTATGATGATGCTCTTCAAGTTCAAACCCATGGAGAAGGTCAACGGTGGCCAGAGCCTCAACCTTTTTGTCAATTGGAATCAAAGTACAATCGTCACAGAAGCGGATGAGGATACTTCCAGCAAGCCATGGCTGCCAGGTTCTGATGCTTGGGACCATCAACAGCTCGAACCAATGCATTTTCAGCAGTAAGACGATCATCCCAACATTGTTGCAGCACTGCTAACTTGGAGATAGGTTCACCAGATACTCCCTCCAAAGCGAAAAGAATCGCAGCAAGCGCATGAAGCTGAGATATAGCATTCCCTAGCTGATGAAAGGCTTTCCGAAGATCACTCGGCAAACCCAGCGTTGCGGTTGTTCCGAAAAGGGAGGCAAAAACAAAGGGATCAATGAACCGGAACTCATCATGCCACGAAGTCAGAGTCGCAAAGATTCCTTTGTTTTGAACATGTTCCGCCTGGAGCAAATGTTGCGCTGTATATGAAGCACACAAAGTTGGCAAGTATTCGCCAACTTGGAGGACACGCTGTTGCAGCACTTGTTGCAATGAGGCGCCATCGATAACCCGAGCTTTCTTGGCTGGAGGAAGCAAATTCCTGTCACCGTAGATCTGCAATTGGTCCTGACTCAACCTCAAACTGTCAACAAAAGTTCCCGGCAACTCAAAAATACGCTTCGGATCATTCCAAGGAAGCCTCCGATGGATCGAACACTGAAGGCGCTCAGCAGATTTTTGCCCTCCCACATCCTGACGACACCAAACAGCAAGCCACCGTGTGCGATGATTGCTTGTGAGCTGGTGGATTGCAACATCTTGAGACCAAATCCGCATGTATCCAGCAAGTTGCATCGCAGCCGAGAGCACCCGCCAATGGGGATGAGCTTCTAGTCCATCAGAGCATTCGAAGAGTGCAAGGACAGGCCTAACTTTGCAAACATGATCAATAGCGTCGAGAAAGCAAAAGCCTTCATCCGAGGCAAGCCCCGAATGTTTGCCTCCTTTGCTCCAACTTGGACATGGAGGTGAAAGCGTCATGAGCAGGTTGGATTTGTGTGACGTGGCTCTGACCAACGTCATCTCGTTGATGTCGGCGTGTATGCCTATGTATGCATCACTGGGGTTGAAGTCAACATCAATAGGGCACCGAAGAAAAGCCTTGTGATGATTTGAACTCCAGGTTCGCATTACATCAGAACTCCAGTCAACTGAGGTGTGGGATGCAAAGACATACCCCATGCCAGCATTTTGAAGCCACCACATGGCCCGAAGCCAGCCTTCGTAGGCGCCGGCAAAGAGATGTGACACCTGTTGTAGCTGGGTACATTCCAAACCGTCACCTTAGCATCTGCAAGGATCCGATCACCATCAAGGCGGTTGCCAGGTTTGGCGACAATGCCAATCCACATTCCAGGAGAAAAGTCAACCCTTCGATGCCGCACCGGACAAAGGATGTCAAAAGTGGGCCATCTCACCGCTTCAACATCTAGCGGCTGCATCAACATCGAAGTCCTTCGGACATGGGCACAGAAAGGCGGTCCAGTGTGCACATCCATGACTTCCCCAAACAAAACCCAGTCATCAGAAGCAAGCCGACACTCACCACAGGAAGCAATACCATGAAGTGCCTTGGTGACAGTCTCAGCCAAAGTCACCGGCATGCCCACAACTGACCATTCGATCAGGCTTTCCACAGCATTAGAACCAGCGTTGCTCTTCATCTCCATCATGGCCATGGCGATCTTCCCACCGGTGGGTGAGAAGCCTGTAGACGCACCACCTCCACAAAAGTTGTGGACGGCAGCGCCCCGGCCCTCGCGGGGGGGCGAGAGGCAAATAGCTGGGAGCCAAGATGCCTGGGGGGAGCTTCCTTGAAGAAGCGTGAGCTATCCTGCGTCCATACTAGTAGCGTCCACTTGCTACTACAGTACTAGCTACCTCAGTTTCTACCTAGCTAGCTACCTACCTCACCTCCACTCGCGCCTACCCCCCAAACCAAAAAAAAGAAACCTAATAGAATTAAATTACTAATAGCTTCTTGTTACTACTAGTAAGGCGCTTGTTCCTAGTAGCTTATTGTTGTGAAAAGAGAATCGGATTGGCAGTTCAGACATTCCCAGCTTGCAGGCCCCAAATGCACTGCCAACGGTGCGGGGCTGATTATCAGGCGACCAGAGCGATAGAGAAGCGCACCTCTCTTACCATTTTGGTTCCTTTTTGGTTTGCTACCAACAAGAAGCTACTGGGGGCTCCTGGCATTGCTACTAGGAGCAAGGACGCTACCAGGGGCTCCTGGCCGTACTATGTATCCTTGAGCACACATTAATTACCCCCTAAGTTTCGATCCTTTGCTGTGGCAGCCACTTGTTATGAAGCAGCGTGAGAGTTAGCCAAGTTGCCATTTGTTTGTAGCTTTGTGTGTTCTCCCTTCGTTCCCCTCAGACAGGCAAAGGACGGCAGGAACTTCAGTGCACACTTACAAATAGAATGTTTGAACTACCAAAATAATTCTGGCCGATCTACAAAAGGAGTGTGTCTCCAGGGCAAGTTGGCAGATGTTGGTGTTCGCGCAGTTTCCTCACACGTTAAAATACCTCAAAAGCATGTGCACACGGACTCGCAGGGATATGGAGGACTTGGCGCAGGGAGTGGCTTGCGTGGAAGCCTCTGGCCGGAATCCCTGGCCGAGAGAGATTTCCGATGTTGTCGGAGGTCTTGCTTCGTCGAAATGGTGCAATGAGAACTCGGGATCACTGAGCGACCCAGCGACCCACAAGAGACAATTGTTTGGTTTGTGGCTTTGTGGCTTTGTGCATTGCGCGCCAGAAAGCACGTGTGTAATACTCTAGGGGTATCCACCCAACCAGAGCAAGGGTTCCCGCGATGATTCGCAAAGTCTCAAACCAGGTCCGGGTGCATTCTGCTGAAGTGAACTTTTCCAAGATGTCCCTTGAACATGTTGGCTGCCAGCGTCCCAAATGATAATCCGAAGGACAATCGAACGGCACCCTAAACGCAAGGTCATTCCCACATTTGGCTTGTTGCATGGGCCTGGGCCAAGATTCCAGCTCCCCAAAGTGCATGATGCCACGAGAAGCTGCCAAGAGAAGCCAAGTGCATAGAACCAGTCTGGTGCGATTCCCATACACAAACCACTGTAAGCCGTGTATTAAGCCCCCAATTTGAGGATTTTGAGTTTCTGTGGGTTTTCATGTTTGGTTGTATGGTATTGTCTAGTAACAGTAACATGTAATTATTTGGGGAGGGAGGTTACCTTCGAAACCATAATGATCTTTGATGGTATTGGAGTATTTGTGCAGACATGCTGTCTAAGTATGGTTGGAAGAAACATTGGATAACGATGTACGTAGACCCCACCAAACCGAACATCGTGTCAAATGGTCTTTGGTTACACAAGAACTTTTGTCAATTTTGGTCTGCTGCTCGCTTGACTTCAGGAACACCTGAATGATTCTTAATGAAGCTTGTTGCAGAGGTAGCAAGAAATCTGAAGCGAGACACAGACTATACAGTACAGTATGCAGGGATCATTGGCATTCTACACGGCAATCCCTTTGTCGTTTTGCACAATTCCTAACGATGGCGTTGCGAGGTTGCATGGGCCAGTGCTCCAAAGGTCCCAATGGCATGTACAGTGCCCCTTGGATTGCACAACGAGGGCGGTCCTACGTAGGCGACCAGTACCAGGAAGTAAGAATTTGGTTGTTTTAAAATCACAAGTATAATACATTGTATTTATATACATGGATGAGTTGATCTAAAGGGGATTAAAGGGGAATGTAAGGGGTTTACAACCTTTGAATACTGTCCAAACCGTCCGCGATGAGGTTCGCAAAAATATATATACTATTTCGCGAAACATTTCTCGATTGTCTTCATGTTCATACTAGTTACTGTCGACCGACATATGGTAGAAATGCTAGGCAATCCTTTGGCAGGGCCAGTGGGCGGAAGTGTCTCCACATGTCCCCACTGTCACAGACCAACAAACTGACAACTCAACTTGCCCTTGCACAGCCCATAGGCATCAGGTGCGTAATTGTTACAGCTTGAAGAAAGTCTGAGTAAGTTCTGGTGGGGCCCTTTTGGAAGCTGTTCAGTGTATGTAGATTCCATATAGCATTGATGCTGCCGTCTTTGGCTCAGGAAAAGTCCGGGGCCAAAGGCAAGATCACCAACAAACTCAACAAATACAGCCGCGTGGTAAGAGTTCAGATTGCTTTGCTGTCATAGACATTCCTCTTGGGAATTTGTCAGCTCAGTTAGTTCATGTTCCAGTCCTGTTCCTTTGAGCTGCTTGGCCACATCTAAGGTAAGCTGACGGAGATGTTAAACGATGTGATTCAAGGCTGTGCCACAACCGAAGACCTGCGGACCTGTTCAAATCTATACAAAATACCCTAAGGCGTTGTAGATACCGGTCAAAGCGATGAAGAGATTCTAGATGATTCTATGAACACCGGCCCGAAATTTGTTGGGTTTCACCATTTGTTGCAATTCTAGTTTGATGATGATGCTCTTCAAGGATGAGAAGTCATGGGTCAGATCAACGATGCGTTTTTGCGAATGCAGAGCGAAGGGTTCGGGTTTGGGTAGACGGTAGAGGGGTCTTCGCGAGACGTTGCTGAAGTGCTCGCAACAGTTGGCAACCATCAACCGTTTGATACCGTTTATGCCGTTTATTACAGTACTTTTTCGTTCACCCTCCCATTGAGGAAGCTTTTATGTCACTGCTCACTTTTGTGGCAGGTTGCCAAGTTTAGTGCAGTGCAGGGGATTGTCGCAATGTTGATTGGCGGGTTGCCTTTGGGCGGCTTGGATTGGGCAACTGCTTGGCGGGCTTCCTGATGTGAGTGCCTTTATGAGTGTTTTGGTATGACTTGTCGACGAAGTCTCCTGCGAAATGCTCGTGTTTGAGACTTCACTTGTGATTCTTGGAGGAAGTCTTGTGCATGTACTGTAGTTGTTTTGCAGCACAAGTGCAGTACAAGGGGGGTATCAAGGTGGCTTCGTGGCTTTGGGGAGCTCCAGGCTCCATGTTGCACAAGAGTGTCAAGAAAGAGGGTCTTAGATAAGAAGAAAAGTAGCGTGCCTCCCAAGAGTGTCATGCAACAGGTCAAGCTAGAGTGTCGCACACGAGTACGCTACAAGAGTGTGTCAAGCAAGAGGGTCCTACAATCCTACAAAAACGGGTTTTAAGAGTCTGAAGCAAGCATGTCCCACAAAAGTTTGAAGTAAGCGTGTCGTATAAAATGACAATCTGGAGCTTTGTTTCGGAAAGTGCCAAGCAAGAGTGTCCTAGAAGAGTGTCGAGCAAGAGTGTCGAGTAATAGTGTCCCCGCAAAGGCTTCGGACACAAATGTCACGCAGTCTGAGATATTCAAGTGTTGCATTCGGGTTCGTGGGTTTGAGTTTGACTTCTCAAGCGTACGTTCGAAAGTGATCGAAAATGCACACGTTGGCAAATCTCAACGCCTGAGCGTATTGATTGTGCGATGCATGTTTGATGCCAGGATTTGCTCTGGACGATCTTCAGAGTCGTGTGCACTGGGTGGCACAAGAGCTCGTCTGCCAATGCTTCATGATATTTTTTGACTTCAGCTTTTTATTTGGAGGGAATGACTTTCTTTGTTGGCAGTGATTTCAGGCCAAGACCCGAGTCTAACGTGGTGAATGTCCATAGAAAATCACACATTAAAGAGTTAGTAGTAGTTAGCCAATCACTTTCTCTGGTTAGAAGGTTGATGGCGTCAAAATAGCACCATCAACATTCAGAAGACACACCAAGACACCCCCACACTCAATCACGCGAGCCTCACTATGTTTCGACTGTTGATGTTGGGCCATGCAAGGCATAAGGCATTCTTGCAGAGGCCTCTTTCAGGTTTGCTGTCAATTTACGTCTTCACCGGTTCTCTCTTACTGGTAGGATGGAGGCCATCGCTATTAGGTGACTGCAATAAGTTTTCTATCCGGAGGGATCCCATCAGACACCAATCCATTGAACAAACTAGTAGCGATGCTACTAAGAACAAGTGCATCGCTAGTAGTAACAAGTGCCTTACTAGTAGTAACAAGAAGCTACTAGTAAGGCACTTGTTACTACTAGCGTGGCACTTGTTACTAGTAGTAACAAGGAGTTTCTGAACTCAAAGATTCGTGCCCGCCTGGATGTGCTGATCCGTTGCATGTACTGTTACTCTCTACTCAATGGTATTTTGCACTGTTATCGGTCAAGCGACATCCTGGGCTAGTAGGCCAAATGCACCTCCTAGGCTTAGCGCCCCTCCCATGCCCTTGAGCGCCATGCGCCCCTCCAGGCTAGGAGCCCATTGCGCTTCCTAGACCTGCTAGATCCTGCCCCTCCACGCTTTCCATCCTAGCGCCTCTCAAGAGGCCATTGCGCCTCCTTTCCCTTCCTATGCCCTCCATGCCCGCACAGTCACACAGGCTTGAGTACTGTAGCTTTAATGATGCGCCCTCTACGATGTACAACTCATTTCTCTCCCCAACAAGACAGATTGTTCATGCACCAGCCCTGCATCATCTGCGACCTTGTGAATTGTATCAGTTTTCCGGGTTGAACCACACAATTGCATTTATTTGATTATTGATTATTTGTTTCATCCTTATCAACATGGCTGATCGCACCAATGTTGAGAACAGTTTGCTGAGCAGCCTGGAGGCTATGTATGGTATTGGAAATTGTAACGTGAGGCAAATGTGAACGGACTGCATTTGTTTCTGTAGTAGCGATGCCCTTTGCTTCTACTAGCTTCTTGTTCCTAGTAGCAATGGCCAGGAGCCCCAAGTAGCGTCCTTGCTCCTAGTAGCGATGGCCATCGTGATCGCCCAAGGTGCACAAAATCAAGTTTGCCATTCGGCGGGAAGAAAATGCCGACACCCGAATGCAAGCCATTGAGGAGACATTGCACCATGGCCCAATCGATGTCCTCGAATACTTGTTAGACCAGGGAAGGCTGAAGAAAGGCATTGAAGTGCAATTGTAAGCCTGGTATGGCCCTCTAGCGGATCAAGATGAGTTTTGTTTTCAATGTATGTCGTACTCCTGTGTTCACTCTGCATGTTTACCGTTCCAAGACACTTGGAAAAGACATGGAGTCAATGCTGCGCAGTGTCCAGCTTTGTAGTGTCAGTTGAGGTCGTCATTTGATGGTCAACAGAAGCAACTGCATCCAGAGTTGGTTGCACAGATGCTTTGCCTAAGATCAAGAGAAATGATGAAGGCCAGCCCCCTCGTAGAAGCCCAAATGTCTAGTAAGTTCGATCCACTTGAATAGCCGGGAGCACATTGCTACACTTGGAAAACTGCTTCCTGTAGTCATGCACGTTTGGAAACGATGACGCGAAGTGCAAAGCCTCAAGGACTCAAGGGTCGGGCCTCAAGGTGTACATAGTCTGGTTTCAGTTGCGGTATCTACACAGCATTTGTTGCTGACACTGCTTGACACTGCTGTGAGGCGGACCCTTCTGCCGCCTATAACGATCTTAGAGATGCTTTGGCCCTTGGGCGACAGTTGCTCACATTGTTGAAGTATTTCGTTCTATGGAAACTTCAGTCTAGAAAAAATCTGATACTTGCTTGTGCCAAGACTCTCGTGATCAACTGAGTCTTTTGCGCGCTTTGTGGATTCAACCAGATATCATCAATCACATTGTGCGGGACAAACGTTCTCGCTGCGGAGACAACATCTATAATTATACAATATATATATATATATAGTAAGGGCTCCGCCCTGGTGCCGCCGACCCCTTTTCTTGGGGGAGGAGCTGGAAGACCAGAAGCCGGACAGGGATTGCTATAAGCATACACGGGCTATGTGCTCAAGACTCTGTATTCTTGATTCCTTTTACCGGTGCTTATGCTACACTACGGATGCGCTAGTGTATGCACAGTCCTTGTCACGAAAGCTGGGATGAGCTGTGTGCCTTAAACCTTGATATATCACACTGGTGGTGCTTGCTGCCGGTGGTGCTGCTGCTGCTGCGGCTTGATGCGGCGCTGCTGCTGCGTGGTGCTGCTGGCTGGCTGCCGGTTGGCGGTTGGTGCTGGCTGCTGGCTGCAGGCGGCTGCTGCTGCTGCTGCTGCTGCCGCTGCTTGCCGCATAGGACTTGTACTTCACCGTTACAAGTTGTTCACCCCTAGTTCTAACCTAATGCACGCAGAAGCGGGTGGCAAATTTACCCCCCAGGCTTGCTATAACCATACACCGGCTATTTCCTCAAGACACTCTATTCTTGACACCTTTTACCAGTGCTTATCCTACACTACGGACGCCCTAGTGTATGCACAGTCCTTGTGATGCTTACCCCTCGTTCCGGCTGAAGGCATAGATAAGCGGGGGGTAAATTGACCCCCCAGATTTGCCATAACCATAAGCCGGCTATTTCCTCAAGACACTCCACTCCTTATACCTTTTACCAGTGCTTATCCTACACTACGGACGCCCTACTGTATGTGCAGTCCGTATGATGTCAGAAATGCTTACCCCTCTTTCCGACTCAAGGCATACAAAAGCGGCGGGTAAATTTACCCCCCAGATTTGCGGAGCACGCATCTTCGTGCTTGCCAACGAGTGCACCCGGGTTGTTCCAATGTACCCTGCCCAGTCAGCGATGTCGCATTTACATTCTCTAGCGCCAAGTATGTACATAGCAAGCTTCCTCCCAAAACATGTAATCCCTACACGCTTTGCCGACTATGTAACCGGTGCGACTCGGCTAGCGTTCGACCGGCTCCCCCTGCCTTCAAGTGATGCTTATCCCTCGTTCCGGCTCAAGGCATACATAAGCGGGGGGTAAATTTCCCCCCAAGATTGGCAATAACCACAAACAGGCTATGTCCTCAAGACACTCTATTCCATATACCTTTTACCGGTGCTTCTCCTACACTACGGACGACCTAGTGTATGTACAGTCCGTATGATGTCAAAAATGCTTACCCCTCTTTCCGACTGAGGGCATACAAAAGCGGAGAGAATTTACCCCCCAGATTTGCTGATCACGCATCTTCGTGCCTGCCAACGAGCACACCCGGGTCGTTCCAATGTACCATTCCCAGGCTTCGTGAGGAGCGGTCACGCCCCTCGCGTTGGGTGACGGACAAGTCCAGTGACCTATATAGGGCGATATTACTTAGATTTAGATGTTTTTACAGTCAGCAATGACTCATTTCGTCAAGAGTGGCATGATGCGGTATGACTGAAAAGCAAGAACGTTGCTAAATCATATGCTCGTCTACTTGACAGGACTGCGGAAGGGCTGTGGTGCAGGCATGTGCAGCCAAAGGTCCCGGGAAGGGCTGTGGAGCCTGGCCAACGGCCCTGCTGGGTCCCGAGAGGCTTTTGAGGGCTGGCAAACGGCGCTTTCGAAACGCCTATAAGGAGTGACATGCACCGGCTTTGGCAGGCAAGGCTGCGGTGCAGGCATGTGCAGCCAAAGGTCCCGGGAAGGGCTGTGGAGCCTGGCCAACGGCCCTGCCGGGCGCCGAGATGCTTTTGAGGGCTGGCAAACGGCGCTTTCGAGACGCCTATAAGGAGTGACATGCACCGGCTTTGGCAGGCAAGGCTGCGGTGCAGGCATGTGCAGCCAAAGGTCCCGGGAAGGGCTGTGGAGCCTGGCCAACGGCCCTGCTGGGTCCCGAGAGGCTTTCGAGGGCTGGCAAACGGCGCTTTCGAAACGCCTAAGGAGTGACATGCACCGGCTTTGGCAGGCAAGGCTGCGGTGCAGGCATGCAGCATGCGGCCAAAGTCGTTGGTGATGGCTTCTCGCTGCGCTGTCCCAGGCGCCGCCCCGCTTAGGCCAAGGCTAAGCAGGGGTCGGCGGATATGTATACTATAAACTTTGATTTCTGCGAAACACGCCTGTGGTGGAAGTTGTTGCTTGAGCTACCTTGTTTGACCGAGAGTGCGTTTGTGCTCTCCGCAAGAGAGTTGATGTGTTTTTGCCAGATACTACGACCAGATTGGCCCTGGGCGTTTGTCACCCTAGCGCAGGCCCCGCATTTTTGTGCAGCTGTGGTGCTTGTGGTTCACCATGTTCAATACTTTCATGCAAACCAAGAGGTGCTTTCAGAAAGGAGATCAACCCAGGTCCAAGAACTTCAATAGCATACGTTGAGGCTTCCCTTCCATATCCTCCATTTTCTGCTTGTGCTCATGTGCTCCACAATGTCATTTTCATTTAATGAGCGTCCTTGCTCCTAGTAGCGATGCCCTTTGCTCCTAGTAGCGTTCTCGTTCCTAGTAGTAAGGCCAGGAGCCCCTAGTAGCATATTGTTCCCATAGCGTTTTGTGCTCGTTAAAAGTTAGGTTCCTCGCACAATTCCTCTCCCTTCCTTTCGCTGTCCCCCCCTAGCGTGGCTAATCAGTCCCCAACTTCCTGGCGCCTGACGCTTCTGGTCAGAGTCTCCTTGTGCACCCAAGACAAACGTAAATTCTAAGTTCACTTCTCCCATTGAAGCAAAGAAAGTCACAATATAGTGAATATGGTGCAAGTCCTTTCATTCGGCGATCCTTGTGGACAAGGCAAGCTGACAGTTTGTTTTTGAGTTCTTTATGTCAAACGGATGGCGCATGGTAGTCAAAGGTAAATTACCCATGCTTAAGCAGAAGATTGTCGTTACCTTGGTTCACTGTTTGTGGTTGGAGGCCATTGCTACTAGTAAAGTTTCCCAAAAAAATCTAGGAACATAATCACCAGTGCGAGCGCTATCCTGCGTCCTGTCGGTAGGAGCGACCTGTACCTACTAGCTACCTCTAGCTACTACTATCGTGGTCTACCCCCCCGGGGTAAAAGATAAAAGTAAACAAAACAACTTGTGACCCAATCACACCAGTTGGGAGCAATTCTGTCGTTTTCAGGTTCTAGACAACCTGCACATGCCCCGAGGGGCCAGGAGCGCAGTGGACAATGGTATTGATCTATCGATGCGATCTGTTTATCCAGTCTATCCATGTATCGAATCCAATTGGATCTAGGATGATCTAGAATCTAGTCGAATCTACTCTAGAACAATCTAATTCAACCTAGTCTATTCTATATATCTATCTAAACTACCTATCTAATCCTCTAATCCAGTTTAATCGAACCCTGTTTGGGTTTAGTTCTCATGCATCATCACAGCTTTCACTGAGGCCCTAGCCTGCATGCAAAAGGCCATCGAGATTGGAACTGGGGTCGCAAGCCACAGAGCTGTCAGTATCAAGGGCTTCGGGATGGCTCCGGGTTACCTTTCAAATTCCACTGGCGGACTCGGGGATGCAGAGGACGTTCAGGATTGTTTTGGAATGTTTGGTCCCCAGATGGCACATGGTTCTTGGTCCGATGCCTTTATTGCGCGTTGGCGTTGTGGAGAATACGTTTGGGCCAGTGAAGACCTGGCAGGCTAGCCAGGGAACAACCTGGTGTGGACCGGGCTGCAAAACGGAGGAGGGTTCTAAAGTGTTCCAACGACTAACCTCTTGCTGTATCCATGTCACATCAAAACAGGCTCCAGGTACGCTCTTCCTAACTTGGACGGGGTGTCAACCACCGCACTTCTCTTTTTGAGGGGACGGGACACATGCACATCCCCTTGGCTGTACTCAGGCTGCTTTGACATTCTATGTTGTGTAGTATTGGCCAATCCTAATTACAGCAACAGAGCTCAACCGTACTTTTGGTACAGGTTTCTAACAAGAATCATAATCGTGTACATATTTTATATGCAGTACATGTTCTGCCGTATTAATATTAACATAGAACCACAGGAGTAAGCAACCCGGACCAATGGGAACAATTCCAGGCTGAGGGTCAATGATTCAAGGGATGTGTTCTCCAAAGCCTTGTAGACCCTCTCGGGTGGGATGTTCATTTGATGGTTCCCTTAAGATAGAGAGAATCATTGTGATTGTAATAGTGAATACAGGTTTTGCTGTGCATGTGCCTTTCTTTTTCCTTGCTTTTAACTATGCTGACACTGGTACAACGTCGAGCCCAGGTTGACAAAAATGCATTGACAAGGCTTGATGGTTCAGGGTTTTGCAAAGTCCTTGGCTTCAGTGCAACCTGTCATTTTTCAGTGGCAACTTTCGGCTTGACCGAATCTTTTTGGCCACAGCTTTCTCCAAATCTCGGTGCCCTGCTGGCAGGGGCATGGTCCGCTTGGAACGAAAAGCAGCTGATTCCAAGGGTCCTGACGTACCGCCAGCAGGCTAGGTGCAGCATCCCGTCCGAAAGCATTGTGTACAATGCTTTATAAGAAATCCCGCCCAAAATCCGTTGTTGTGTCATGCACGCTTCCCCTGTGTTCTTTTCCTTGACTTGTTTTCAGTTGTTTTATTGCATTATATATATATGTATGTATGTATGCCGCTTGAATTTTGATACGAAGTTGACTGCTTGGTCCAAGTGTTTGTTTCCAGAAGTGCCAGGTATAGAAATGGACATTCGCTATATCAAAGAAAAGTCGCTCGCTGGAGGCGAGTCTCAGAAGCAGCCGAAGGACAAAGAGAAGAAGGAGCCTTGAGAGCCCCCTGTCACCTTGTGTTTTGGCTTAGATTCCTCAAGGGTCTTGACATCCCAAAACTGGAGTTCCGCCAAGTTCCGCCTAGTCCTTGAGGCACCAAAAATGGCAGAAGCTCATAGAAACTCCAAGTGTCAAGAAAGGTTCAGCTGATTGTGTGTCAAAGATATTTGTCAGGAGAAAGGTGAGAAAAGTGAGAAAAGCGATAAAAGAGAGAAAAAGGTCACGAAAGATGGCAAGGAAGTAAAAGCTTCAAAGGCATGCCGATCGCTCGCCCTAGCAGAGTAGGGCAAGACAGCCGGTTTATGCAGAGTAGGTTCAATCGGAACGGTTCATCTCCACAAGTTGCGAGATTTGACCCTTGAGGATGTAGGCGTTGGTGCAAGAAAAGCATCATTCGTAGGACCATGTTCAGGCTGAGGAAAGCCCTGCTTGGAAGTGTTAAGCCTGAGAATGCCTGTGACATGAATTTGTGAGGCCAAGAGCAAGAGCAAGAAGGATGGATCAGGAAAGAAGGAGAAGGACTGTTCTCAGCTTTTCCAGCAAAAGCTAATGTCACGCGAGTATTTGCAAAGTGCCCACTACATCAGACGGGTATTGTGCTAATAGTAGCGAGGTAATCCTCACTCAAAACGAAGCTTAGCCAGGAGAAAGCAAATGCCGAGGATGCTGAGAAGGCAGCAAAAGAGAAGCTCGAGCTTGAGAAAGCAAATGAAATGGAGCCAGCCGCAGAGGCTGCAGAAACTAACGATGTGCCAGAAGAGGCACCAAAGACACGACAGGTGGGCATTGCTGTAAACAATGCTGCGAAGGAAAAGGTTGAAGTGTTGATTCCTCAAGCGCTGGTGCAAAAAGTGTGTAAAGTAAATCCCAGGGGACACAGTCTACAAGTTGAGATTCCAGAATGTCAATGTCCTTTTTGTTGCGATTGTAGCAAAAGAAGCTTTCTTCCTCGGCCACATCTCATCTATAGTAAAAAGGCAAATGGCCATGGTGGCCCAGTTTGTGAATCAGTTGCAGGGTTTTGCCTGCAGCAGTCCTGGTGCAATTTCCGGTCGAATGACATCGAATGACTGCTGAAATTTAGTGTTATACGTTGCGCAATGCTTCGCATCATTACGTTTTGTGTGTGGTTGTACTGTATGCTGAGCCGAGCTCATTGCCTGCCTTTTCGTGCTTGTTTGATCTTGTTTGAAAATTGCCAAAAATGCAACGATCTTAGACTGATCATCAAGTGTCCACTGAAAGAGTTCCAGAGAAGAGTTGAAGTCAGACTTAGTGTGATGAAATAACTGGAGAGGAATCAAAGCCAAAAGAAGAGAAGAAGGTGCCAAAGCCAGCTTCTGAGCCGAAAGATGGAGCTGAGAATATGGTGCCCGGGCATTTTTCAGCGATGTTTCGGATTTTTGCCGTGGTTACTCCATGAGCAGGTGTGGTTGGGACCCTCATTGTGATGATGCGGAGTATGTTCCTTCATTTGTTACCGTTACAGTAGCTTCAAGGTAATGGCAAAAGATTTCCTGTTGTCGCTGCACCGCTAGGTGGTCAAATCTGTGGAAGCGTTCAAAGATATCGTGATGCAGAAAGAGGTGCGGCCGAAGAATCTGGAGAAAGCGAAAAGCAAAGACGAGAAGGACAAAAAGAAACCTGCTGGGGTTGCAATACCGTTGCACATGCTGGCAGACATGCTTGGCTCCAGATCGAAACTGCTTCTGAGACAAGCTTAATGTTGGATCTTAATTAGCAACTCCCCCAGCAAACAATCGAGGGAGTACGAATAGAATCACCGCCACAAAAACCATTATATAGTAGTATTCGTAGCAGTAGCAGTAGTAGTCGTCGTCGTAGTAGTAGTCGTGGTAGTAGTAGTCATAGTAGTGGTAGTGGTAGTAGTAGTAGTAGTAGCAGTAGCAGTAGTACTTGCAGTAGTAGCAGTAGAAGTACCAGTAGCACTAGTAGTCGTAGTAGTAGAAGAGTTAAGTAAGGATTTGAAAGGTCAGCAATAGCAGAACAATAATTCAATAAAGTTAGTTTTTGTTCCCTTAGGGCTCCAAGTTTGCTTATTAATCCCACCCCCTAAACAATTGATATTATTCACTTCCCCTAGGCTGGTGTACTACCCCCTAAAAAAAGATTGTTCCGAGCAATAAACTCGTTGAGTTTTAATAAGCGTTGTTGAAAACGATTTCCAGGTCAGAATTACATGAATCAAGCAAACCTCAGGAGAGTTAAGTAAAGATGTTAAAGGGGGAGCAATAGCAGAATAATAGTCAGTAAAAGAATCAATAACAAAAACAACCCCCTGGATGAAAAAACATTCCCATTAAACTATTCAGGGTGTTGGAATAATGTTGCGAAAACGTCTTATTATTCCGTCCCAATTTGACTAATTTGGATCTAACATTACTAAGCTTACCCTTGCGGCCCTTGCGCTCTTGTCCCGTTTCTTCCAAACACAGATTCTCCAGGTCCAGGATGCATACTACAGAAACACAAAAAAGTGCAGGATTGGAGGGAAAAGAAAGGTTGTTTGTCAAAAGGTCTACAGGGGCCAAAGTATTCGAACGGACAACTCAAACATATACATTACAATGTCATTACATGTGTAAATATTGGAATCGACACTGGACACATAATAAAGCTTTCATGAAATCCAACGAGAAAATGGAGGGATGGAAGGCTGTCGGTAGAAAATCCCAATTGACGCCCCGCGATGCCAAGGAGAAAAAGAAGGCGCCAAGGGATGCGACGGGGCAAACAAAGTGATAAACGATAGCAAACCACTACAGCATCATGGAGAGCTTTGTTTTTTTTAGACACTAAAATGCAGCTGATCAATAAGCCTGGAAAGCAAGACGAAGGACTCTGGGCCAGAAGAATAAGAGGAGGAATGCCTTAAAGAGACCTTTGCACCTTCACGAGCTTTTTTTTGTGTTTTGATCCAGTTGTATGCCCAGCAAACGAAAGCCAGCTCCAACCATTTGCGATTGCCTGTCACAATTGTTCATTGAGGGATAGGCGCCTCATGAAGGATGTTTAATAGTTCTTTGTGCACTTGGTGGAACCTCGCACTTGCCAGAAAAAGACAAAGAAAAAGAAACCAGAAAAGTCTGATGCTGCTGCTGGAGAATATCAGGAGCTTCACTGCTAGCAGAGTAGAGCAGGCATCACAACGAATTTGTCAACAGTTTCTCACAGAAAGAATTACAGTTCGTGCATAGAGGCACCAAAGGGATGCAGTGTTGATGAATTATGTTTATATAACTTAACTTGTCTATTTATCATTCAATGACCTTGCTTGCAGCATGGCAGGTTTGGGGCAGAATTGTGAATTCTACTGTGCGTGTTGCGTGATTGAGTAAGTTTTGACAAGATACCCGAGCCTTTTGAACAAGTCCTGAGAGCTTTGTGCCGATGCCCACTTAGACCTTGACAAATAATATGTCGACGGGACAGTGGCTTTACTGGCCTGGCCACTTACAGTACAGCCTTTGCCAACGTATTGTTCAGGACTGGCAGCTACGGAATTCGGAGTGGGCCAACCACGCTTCTTGGCAACTGATCACTTGCAGAACGATTGTGATTACATGTGATTACCATTCTTCATGAGCGTAGCTTTAAACGTATATATATATATGCTCACTACACCTGAGGATTGTCTTAGGCAGGGGGCGCAGGGATGGACCTTTCTTTTGCGAAGCGCTCTTGTTGATAAAGCCGTCAAGCCTGGTTCTTTGATCAGTGCACCAATCACAGCCATGCAAAATAGGAGCCTCCCCTTGTTTTGTTGCCACAAGACAGGGCTTTGGTTGCGGTCAAGGACGGATTCGGAAACTATGATTCGGAAACTACAGGCTGATTCGGAAACTATATATAGGGGATGTCTGAAGGAAGCAAAACATGTCATAACAGGGATATGCGCTCCAAGTAGACCCCAGCGTTGCCACAGAGATGACTGCCAAACTTATGATAAGTCAAACAACGACATGCCATAACTCCCTAGATGGCGTAACATTTGAAAAGATCCGTCCAAACTGAGATGTCCTTTTCACATCAGTTGAAATGTTTGGCATGTTCGCGGGCCTGTGTGATTGATGTGCTTCCTCGCCTTGCTCGTAACCAGAAACTGAACGTCATTATCCCACCCACCCCACACACCCCACCCACCCACCCCTCCACCTACCTGCTCGACTTCTGAACCAGTGTTTTTTCTTCGTAGTTGCTGAATCGTATTTTCGGCGCAGTAGTTTGAATCGTAGTTTCTGAATGGTATAATTTCTCTATCTTGGTTTCTAAATCATCGTGTCTGAATCGTAGTTTCTGAATCGGAATTATTCTTCGGTTGCGGGTCGGGTAGTGCGGTAGTGAGCAAGCGCACAGAAAGATGAACCAAGAAAGCTGTTCACCACAACCCCAGGCAGAACTCCATCCGCTTTGCAACATGTTTTATGATATTTTACTTCACCAATGTAACAAATTACTAATCATACAAAATGTGGACACATCGTAGATACATCGTAGATGCATTATGAGAACAGAGCTTTTAGAATTTGTTCCGCGGCAGGATGACCTTCGCTTGCAAGGGAAAAGCCTCAAAGAGCTTTGAGTCTCCCATTTGGCATATTGACCTTGCAGCCAACATTGGTGGGGATCCCAAGTGTTAAGTCTTCCTGTCTTTTAATCAAAGCAGGTGCGGATGGATTCCCAGAGATCATGTCCGTCCAAAATCCACTTCTCAGTAGATGTGCGGAGGGCATCGATCGACGTTCCGCAAAAACTCTGGACGAGATCCAAATGCCCCTAGGTGAGGATGGTGAGGAGATCCAACGCTCCTACACACCCTTGAGCAATGCCGAGGACTACAAGAAGGTGGGTGTCCTTTTGTCTCAACGCGCATTACATGAACATGCCTCATGTTTGCTTTCAATATTTATTGATGATGTTCTTTGGTTGTTTCCCAAATGACTTTGGCAAGTTGCTCTCAGGGTGTTTTGGTCCTCCTCATCAAGGTGGGGCTGCCGGTCTAGGTGTTTGCAGAAGTCAGGCTGACAACTCGTACCGTTGGCATCAAAAATCACTCTCACGTGTGCAGGTCTACCCCACGGGCAAGATGTCCTCCTACCTGGGGAAGATGAAGGCAGGCGATTCCATTTTGGTGTTGGAAGCTCACTGGCGGTTGGAAGCTGTTGTGAAAGTGAAGTCGTTGTTTTTCGCTTCCACCTCGACGGGTCCGAGGTCCAGACCTGTCGCCACAGTCGATCCCCAGGAGTATCCCGAGGAGCAACAATTAGAGTCGAGCGAGTATCTACAACTTCTTTTTGGGCGGGGGGGAGGCCGCTAGTAGCTAGGTAGCTAGAGGTAGGTAGCTAGTAGCTAGGGGTAGCTAGTACCTACAAGTAGCTACTACCGACTGGACGCAGGAGACCTCGCACTAATGATGTGGTTTCTAGACTTTTTGGGAAACTTAACTTGTGATGAACGAGTTTCTGTCATTTGTTTGTAAAAGTCCCAGATGCCAACTCTTTGCAGTTGGAAAGGCCACATGTTGAGGCACATGCAGAACTGCAGACTGCATGGGCTCTGATAGGGAGCGTGGTATGTCGGTGCGTTTAACGCTCAAAGAGGCGACCTGGAGGTACGTGATGTATAGAGTACTAGGTGAACCCTAGGCGCCACTCCAAGTGGCTATTCACTAACAAACCGCCACAGGGCGCCATTATGGTCGCTGGTGGCAGCGCAGTGGTGGTTGCCCTGCAGGCAGGTGCTTACTCAGATTCATAGTTGTAGCACTTCTTGCATAGACAAAACCACGGCAGTTGCTGGTTGAGAAGGTCCGCATTTGAATCTTCAATATTCCAACCACTGATGGACAATCCCTTGCCTGGACAAAGGTCATTGGAGGTAGCCCTGTCAAACCTGAGACTTTAGGACTAGGGCATGCAGCCCGACCTGCAGGTTGCCACAGCGATGCTTCCACAGATCGCGGATTCCTTTCACTTGTATTTGTGACCTGGTTGCACTTGCGTGAATTCAGTGTGGGTCCAATCTGGCTGTGACCGCTTGAGCTTGTTCCAAGATTTCGATTTCTGTGGTAGCTAGGGTGTCAACTGTGTCCATAAGACAAGCCAGATTGGTTCCCTATCCACCTAAACCTTAATGCCCGATACGAGGATAGAGCCCAGGGAGGCATAACGTGGCTGTAGGTGCAACAGAAAGCAGCCGGATGTGCTCCTCATGGATGAATTCAATGTTCTTTTGGAGGCACGGCATGGTCCCGTGCATTCATGACTTGGCAGGATCTAAGATTAGATGAGCTAAGGCGGCCAAGGTTCCCAATCACCAAGGCAGAATCAGGATAGGATAGAGCATTTGTTCTTCCGGTTCAGAGACATTTGTGACGTCACACATGCCGAAGAGCTTCCAAGAAGTTGGCAAGGAAAGACTTGAGAGACTTCAAGTTTCATTTCTCATGTCGGGCTGGACAGATGAAAATAGTGCCAGTCACTTGATTTGCCAGGCGTACCCCAAGTTCCACATGACCAACTGCCTGTCACAGGACATGTTTGCATATTGCTCCAAAGTCAAAGCCTTTTCCTCGAACGCTGGGGCAAGGGCTGCGGGAGAACCGGGCAACCCAGCACCAATGACCAAGGCAAGGATATGTAGTGGTGCTCCAAGAATTAGAGAGAATTGGGCTAGAGCGGCTAGAGCGTGTTCTCTGTGGTTTTTTGAAGCAGGAGCCTTGGCCTTTGCCTTAGGTTCCTGCTAAATGGCACAATATAATGATGCTGCACGGGAAGCATGCTTTCTTTTTGCAATCATAGCATTGTATCGTGTACTGCAGAAGAAGCTCTATGTGAAGATGCTAGCTTGCACTGTGTGCCAGCTCTATGTTTTTTCATTTCGGTTTTGGTTTCACCGTGCCAGGACCAGTCTCCCGAGAATCCAGGAGGGCGCTCTTCCTGGTCATCAGGCTGTTTGCGAATCCGAACAGCTGAAACGAGACAGCGAGACGGTTGTCACACGGACTGTGTTTGTGGACCTGTTGAGGGTTCGATGATGTTATCTCTTGGAGATGAGAGAGGTATTCTGCGGCGAGTCTATATACAGTTGTTTGCTGCGTGGGTGGCTCTGTGTGTGTACCAGCTTTCCTGGGTATGTGCATGTTTGTAATGAATATATGAGATAATATATGCCTTTCCGCTGGACACACTTTGGAGCTGCTGAAGGCCGCTTGAACACCGAGCTTCTCTCAGGAGCACCACAGAATCTCAAGGCAGAGCATGAAAGACCGAAAAGGGATTGCTGACAATGCATATGTTGGATGAGTTTACAATAAATAACTACATAATATATTTGAGTAGACTCATGGAAGGCCAGCCACCTCATGTTTGTTTTCTCAGCATGAAGCAGTTCCAGCAAGAAAGAGTGCAGACTAACCAATTATTCCTGCTTGGTCCTTTTATCACGACTGTTTGGCAGGACTAGGATTGTGTTTTCATGTGTTTTCCAAGCCTACTGCTTGACAGGTTATCATGAGTGGCCCTGACCCATTGTGCAAGATGGTTGCACAAACCTTCATGGAAATGGGCAAGCAGGACCTGTACCGTACAATGTCAATCTCCACGCGTTCGGGGAGTTTGATGGAATTTCCTGTTTGATTAATTGACACTTGCATTGTGAGATGGCAATCACGTTGCCGTTCAACCGTTCAACTATAGAGTTAGAGCTGCAATGACCATTTAAGTAGTACACGATTGCCAACGTGACAAGCGGGCTGTTAGCGCTGACCATTCAGGCTGGCATTTCATTCGCTGTTCTGTGGGCTCAGTTGACGGTCACAAGGGGCCTCCCATCCCATCCCCTCGTCATGCTTTCCACCAGCCGAGACATGTCCAGGAAGATGATATTGCCTGCATCCGCCTCAGTGCATTCGATGTTCCGTGATACTGATACTGTTGTTGTTTGATTGCTCTCATCTCATGCGCGCTGGGACAGAAGCCGATGTCCGCATGATCATCATCTCGTGCTCGGCACAGAGGTTTGGACACGGACTTGGATGATCTTTTGCATCCCGATGGTGGTGAAGAGGAGGCGGGTTCAACAGAGAGCCACCATGACCTGTCTGGAGCGGGCATGCAAGCCCATTGTAATATAATATCCAGGATCAAAGCGATTTGAGATGATAAAATAAAGTTCAGAAGTGTACACTGAGATTGCCATGTCCTTTACAGAGATGTTTTGGTTTCTGCCAAGGTCCTCATCTCGAAGATGAAGTCATCACCGCAGCTGCCACCAGCTGAAAAGCATCCTAGCTTGTGAATGCTTATGAGTTTGTGAATTTACAAGGCTCAACTCTATAGGTGCATGGTCTTGTTTAGTCATTGAGTATATTGGCCGATGGTTTGCACGTTTCATTCTCGCAAACCAGTGGCCCACGGCCAATGTTTCCTTAACATCATTCCCAACAGAACTGGTAGGTCCAGTTAATGTTTCTGTGAAATACCCAGGACAGAAGAACAAAGGGTGGAGGTTCCTCGAGCTCGAATCAAGGCAAGCTCAATTTTTGTGGGTTGACTGTTCCTTTGAAATGCACACCTTTGCGTTCAATGCAGTAATGGGCACGTCACACCCCATGGACATCATGGACTCTTGCTCTTCGATGTCATGCTGCCGCATCAGTCATGTTCACTTGAGAAGTGAGGACAGGTGATGGAGCTTGTCCAAGCCTATTCACGATAACATGCTGACACAGTTGCTTGGAAAAGGCTCTTATCAACCATCATTGTCCTTGGTTGGTGAATAGGCCATTGGGTGCTCCAAAGTTTGACTGCAGAACCCCAGACTGCCCCATAGAGCACACCACAGACCTTTTTTGGGGGTGAAGGCAGCTAAATCGGTGTCAAGGGTTTCGAGCTTTCCAAGAAAGCGAGGGAAAAGCTTGCTCGAAGAACCCTCACTGTAAGATCTGTAAGAAGGCTGTGTTTCTTTTGTTGTTCATTTCTCCATGCAGGCCATTACTTTCAGCAGTCGATGGTGAATTATGCATGATCCACTGGTTCCACAACCCTGCTGGATCGCTGCGATTCTTGCAGGCATCGAAGTCCCAGGTGATTTCCATCGATTCCTTGGTATCTCCAGTGATCGCAAAACCTGTCGCAGGCGAACCCTGTGGGTAGGGTAGACAGTTTTCTCATGTTCTCTCCACATTCATGTCAGGATGAGTCTCCTTTGCATTCATATCAATCGTTGACCTACTGTAATTGACCAATGGTGAACTTTGCAATTTTTTTCCTGCATAGCTGTCCAGTTCAACATACTAAACATACCATTAAAATCCTTTGAATAATGTGTTCTCTGGAGAGAGAGCCTTGTGGCTTTGGTGAGGAAACTTGCACACGGCCAAACACCAAGCTAGAAGCCGCCCAAGCCAAAAAAGCCGAGCCAAAGAATGGGCTCCGACATTAGCGACCGTCACATCGCTTGTTTCACTGGCAGGGCTGGGGCTCTTCTCCTCCCTTTTCCTTTGTGGCTGCAAGCCCACTGATGCAACTTGGATCGAAATGGGGAGCATATTTCTTTTTTGATGATACACTGTGTTGTGGAATTGCGTTCATGTTTTTCATGAATTGTCTAAAGTCCAAATTTCCAGGGCAAGTTTTGTGCGTTTGTCAAGGTCACCGTTCCTTCAGTGAAAGCTGGACTTTTGGGGGGTCAATGTTTTGGAGCGAAGGAAAATAGTTATGTTTCTGAATTTGAATGCATGACTGGTTGTAAAGCAGCCACTTGGCTGCTCATTTCAATGGTTCTTTCATGTTAATCAGCGTTGTATAGATGTTTGGTTTAGTCAGTGGCACCTTTTATGTGATGGGGAAGCTATGTGGAATCACTTGTTGGCCCACAACTGCAGTTCTCACACTCAGGGAAGGCGATGTCAAAGAGCGAACAGACCCTTTGCTCTCCTCCAGACCCCAAAAACAGTGCTCACATGTTCGGAAACTCAGCCTGTAGCACGCTTGTCGTCGCTGCTTGCCATTTTGAGGCATTCAGTGAGGATATTCACGAGGCCCCTCAGCCGAATGGAGATGAGATGTGCAATTGTAGGGCCGGAGAGCTTCTTTGGGATTTGCCAATGCAGCGGACCTATTGTTAAGACGCAACTGGACATGCTGCTACATGAAAGCCAATGCAAGCAGAAAGATGATAATGGTGCCAAGCTGAACACTAGAACCTAGTGGCCGTTGTTCTTGATGATCAAAGTAATAAGTAATTAATGAAGACTGGCTGCTCAATGCTCACTTGAAGCGCTCAGGATTCTGTGAAGCAAAAGAGATAGGCAGAGGACAAGAATTGTGTGCTCGCCATTGCTCTCCTTTGCTACACCGGTTGATTATGTATCAAACAAATCGTGGTCAGGAAATTCAGCAAAAGTGTCAGTGTTGAGCTCACCGCAACAGGCATTCTTGTTCTTGATTCTGCCTCATTACCCTTCGTTTTATGACCAGCTCGTACAAGCCACTGAGGAAAGCTTGGTATATACAGGGAGCTTGTTCCAGCAATATGCATACACTACAGTAGCGGAACCAAGACTCCAATAAAGGTAGAGACTGCCTTGGCTAATTTAATCGGTTGCATGGGACTGCATATGTGATTGTTTTGTGCCTTTTTGACAGCACATCAACGTAGAGATGTCCTAAAATAGAGAATGCCGCAAGCAAAGATATTCTTGCTGGTCGTATGTGCGTTTATGGACACCTCTATCATCCACCTTCAAGAGACACTGAGATGAGAAGTGACAGGATGACTGCAGTGGCGACGTTGAGATCAGCATCGTGCACTGTCTCAGCACGGTTCACAGGAAAGCTGAAATGCATTGACATATTAGGAACAAGAAGCTACTAGGAACAAGTGCATCGCTTCTAGTAACAAGTGCCTTACTAGTAGTAACAAGAAGCTAGTAGAAGTTTGTTTTAATCTCCGGTTCATGTTTGCCCCAGTGAGACGGTGAGATTCTTCGAGCTTAGGTCGCCTTGCCACAGCAAGAGCTTGCTGATCGTCAGCTGATTTGGTGTTGTCTCACCTGGGGAATGTTTGAAAGAACTGTGGTGGCTGACATCAACTGACTTAATCAACTATATCTCCGTTGCACTTAGTGGCACTGTATTGCATAATCTCATGGGAAAGGCCCCTTGCTCTTGGCTAGCGGATCAGAGTTTGTCTCAGGAAGACCATGTATATCCAACAGAGGGAATCTCAATTTCGATTCCTCTATTGCAAAGGGGTTGGAATTGGTTGCTGCTACATGTTGGTACTGTAGCATCAAGCTGGAGTAGCTACATGACAACCAGTTTCAAACCATCCATTCTTGTGCACTATATACATATTGATTGCTCCTTGTTTGACGAGCAGAATGATTTGTCACGAAGATATGTACGTCAGTTGACAGCGGCAACCAAAGCTCTCTTTCAGACAGCATCAAAAACATTCGGACGCTGCAGGCGTTTTTACCTATACCACGTATACCTATTCGAACAGTGATGTCCCATGATATTCTAAACTGACACTGACCATGTCGCCACGTTTGCTTGCTTGCCCGAAGCAGAGTATGACGGTGCAGGGTCGAAAGAATGATTTTCCCTCCTCAGCACATTTTTCATCAGAATGCATCGAAGATGCTGTTTCAAAGGCGCGCAAGACCGAATGATGGTCCTCTTGCCTTTGAAGCTGTTTTTGTAAATACATCCTGACTCCACTGACGCCCTCTGAAGTTGGGCTGGCCTTAGCGGCCTTGTTTGGCACACCTGTTCTAATTCTAGTCTATACTTGTCTAGATCATTGGTTCGCTGCGGTTCGCTTGTGCTTCCTGGAGTACGGAGTGCCTACGCCACCTGGCAGGGTAGGAAATGTCCTCATCCAAGACCAAGAGACAAAGACATGCTCTCATGGCTGTTTGCTCCTGAGAAAAGATCGAGTGCCTTGCTCACAGCACTGACAAGCTATGGCTACATTTCCCAAGAAATCTGGGAACCAAATCAATCATGGGAGGGCTTATGCGTCCAAGCCTCGTAGTGCTACTTACTAGTAGCATCTCATCTAGTAGTTTAACTCATTTTACTTCCTTAACCTGCTAGCTACTTACTTGAGCTCACCTTCTCACGGCCAAAGTTTTTTGTCGGCTCCCTTCCCTTCTGAAGCGTTTCCACATTCCAGTTTTTTTGTTAATTGCTCGCTGTTGAGGCTTTGATTTGTCCTGGTGCTTTGTGTTTTTCATGTGTGGGAGCTGGAGCGCATTTACCCCAAAACAGAACCAGAATTTGGAAACCTGATTGGCTGCTCTTCTGTCCGTCGTTACCTGCCTCTCAGCCCTTGCGGCTAAGGGTGCAAGGAGCGCTTGCACAAAGTCCGCTTCACCTGGCTATCATAGGCACCAGAGAAAGCGAAAGGAAAAGGAAAAGCTTTGGTGAGTGAGTTGAAGGAATCCAAGTTGCCAGTGAGACCCATCAAAGACTTTGCTTCAGAAATTGATAAGTTGGGTATTTACATACTGCCTGCATAAACACGCAAAATGTGTTGCGCAGCGGAGGCCAAACACACAAGATTGTTGTCAGCGCCATGTTAGTGTATATATATAGGCCAAAAATGAAACACTGCAATTGAATTCGGACTCAGACCCAAACGGCTGAGCTCTTTTTTGATTAATTGCTTTGTGTGTGTGATACTTTTGTTTGTAGACTGTGTGTATATTTGTATGTTGTTGGTCAAAGGAAGTTTAGTGTACGAAACTTCCGTGTTACGGACATTCAAGAAACTGTTCATACACCACTCATCAATACACCACTCATCAATACACCACTCATCATACACCACTCATCATACACCACTCATCATACACCACTCATCATACACCACTCATCA